CAATTGAATACACCTCAAAGTCAATTTATTTGATGTTCAAATGGATACATTCTACTGGGCTTTTGCAAATATTTACTCATTTTGATTTTGATGCTTTTAATACATTCCACAAAAGCTGGGACAGGGGCAACAAAAGACTGGGCAAGTTTAGGAATGCTCAAAAACACCCGTTTGGAGCATTCTACATGTGAACAGGTTATATGGAAACAGATGAGTGTCATGAATGCTTATCAAGGGAGCATCCCCAAAAGGCTCAGCTGTTCACAAGCAAGGCTGGGGCCAGTTTCACCACTTTAACCCAGAATCATAGCTGGCTTCTCAGGGCCCGAGCTCTTCTGAGATGGACTGACGCAGTGTGGAAAAGTGTCCTGTGGTCTGACGAGTGCACATTCCAAATTGTCTGTGGAAATCATGGAAAATATGTCCTTTGTAGAGATGTGACGTTCGCGAACGATCCGAATCTGTTGAAAGGCTCTTTACAACAAACGACAGGAGCCGAGTCGCGGGCAGTTAAGAGTCATTTGTAGTTTTATTTCTTTTATTCCTCATATAATCTTTATTTTTTCATACTTAAATCACTCCCATTTTGCTTTTTCATGGAAAACAGGCGGAGTTGTGGTGTACAGAAGCTCATGGTGAAAGGGTGAGGGAGGTTTCCGCTTGACAAACACATGGTTCCACCCACGTGACAGGATTACGTCAATACGTACGGCTACGTAATGACGTATTTCCCTACGGGATGACGTAATACATTCAAAATTGAATGGCTCTATGAAACAAACGGCTCCCCAAGATCCAGATCCCTTCAAAGAGCCATTTATCCCATCTCTAGTCCTTTGTGCMCAAAAGAAAAAGGACTGTCTGGACTGTTATCAGCGCAAAGTTCAAAAGCCAGCCTCTCTGATGGTACGGGGGGTGTTGGTGCCCACGGTCACACAGTTATTAATGCTGAAAGCTGCACACAGGTTTTGGAGCAAAATATGCTTCCATCCAAGCAACATCTTTTTCAGAGATGTCAGATTATTTTGACAAGACAATGCCAACCTTCTGCACRTTACAACAACATGGCTGTGTACTAAAAAAGTTCTAGAGCTCTAGACTAACTTTTTGAACTGGTTGCACCAGTTGCCTAACTTTTTCTCTTTGGTGGATCTGTACAAAAGTTAGGTGCACCCAAATTTTCAACCACATCGCTTTTAACATCGCAGTTTAAAGGGATCCACGATTAGTTGTAACATTACTTTATTTGATAAACATATATTTTAACTGTAAAATAAAGACTGTAAAAATACTGTAGGATGTTTAGGTTTTTATATTTTTTAAAAATGCATTTTAACACGGATGGAGCCATTTTATTTACACACAAAGCATTCTGGGTAAATGATGATGACGTGTGAGCGAGCTATATCCACCCTGAAGGTTAATCTTGGACAATATCTGATAATCGACTCATGAAACCAGAGAGCGTTGACAGAGAGG